CATGGACTTTCAGCCTTGCCTGGGCCCTCCCAGCAGCTGGGATCCACACAGGTAGAAACCTGAACTTTTCAGTGCATCAGACTCCCCTGGACAACTTGTTGGGACACAGGTGCGGCCCCTGGAACATGTGTTTCGTGGGTCTGAGCAGGGGCCTCCCGGGCTCCCAGGTGCTGTGATGCCGCTGGGCAGAGGCCACTTTGAGAGCCCTGAGCTGGACGTGCCGGGGTAATTGTGGTCAGTGGTCTTGGGACACTTGGGCTGCTTCTGTTTAATCTCTTTGAGAACATGGATTTAAACGGACATCAGAGCCCGTTTGCACCGAGTCCCCAGTGGGAATGTCCATGGGAATGGGGTGTTTGGAAGCGACCTGCACACCGGCCTAGGCCTCGCTGGATTCACTGAGGTCCTGGATGTCCCCCCGGAGGACCAGCAACTCTACTTCACAGCTCACACGGAGGCCATCTGTCCGAACAACCGGACAGGCCCGTGTTTCCAGAGCTGTGGATGGTTGGAATTCGCCCCTTTGGCTCTGTTTACACAGAATGATGAACCAAAGTCTGAGCATCTTCAGTGAACCTCCCATCGGATGAAGGGTTCCTCTCCCCTCAGGACAGCAGCGTCGCTGACCCAGGCCACCTGAAGGAGTTCAGCGCCGTCCCGGTCAGGCTGGGGCGAGGAGAGGGCCGCCTGGGCCGTGTGACCTAAGGCCCAGTCATTCATTCATTCAACAAACGTCGAGCGAGTGCTGACTGTACTGGGCTCCCCTCCCACACAGGGGCCAGCGGTGGGGAGCTGAGCAAGCCTCCTGTTCTGATGCAGGTGCATCCTATTTTTTTTTTTTAAATATTTTTTATTGATTTTAGAGACAGAAGAAGGGAGAGAGATACGGAGACAGAAACATCGATGCTCAACCACTGAGCCAGGCCAGCTGGGCAAGACTTTCTTTTGTATTAAAACATCGTGATGACAGATAATCAGAGTGGACCTGGGATAGCTCTGCCACTTTCAAAGAGCCTTTCCCTCGAAGAACACGGGTGGGGAGCACCTCATCATGGCGACAAAGAAATCACTAAGGCTAACCAGAGAGCTCAGTTCACTTCCAATATTGCATTTTAACCCTTTGCGGTCGTATTAAATTTGGACATGGGTGTCGTACTGGTTGGAATTAATTTCCATTGAAAGAGCAGTGATACATAACATGCAAGATTATGAAGCATAAACAAGAGAAATTATGAACTGATACATGAATGAACAGAGTTAAGATTCGTACGGTTCCTTGCTGTGGTGGCTGAGAGCAGACATGTGACCGGAACGGTAAAAAAGCTTTGGTGGCTGAGAGTAGACAAACGACTGCAAAGGGTTAAAAGCTGAGCTTAGGAGCGCCCTTCTTTCTGGGTCCTCCAGGAATACGGTGTTCTGTGAGCCTCGGGGCACCCCCGTGGGACAGGAATGGGGAAGGCGGAGCCCCGGACTGTGCCCCGGCGGAGCGACCTCTGCCTGGCGTGGAGCTCTGCCGACCACCTGCAGCTTGTGTGAGTGCCCTGGATATTTAACCAGTGGGCACGAACTGTCTCGGTGTGGATGCAAACTTGGTCGTTTTTAGTTTAGATCTGGGAGTGTCCCCTTCTGGATGCGCTTTGGTTGACTGGTACATTTCTAAAAAAAGGGACACTTTCGTGGAGGGAGCTGTTTAAAAAGCATTGAGGCTTCCTGCCTCCTTGTTAGACCTGGTCAGGTTTTCCCGGGTCTATAACTTCACAACAAAACCAGTCTTTGAGCTCCCCAGCCTCTGCTCACTGAGGACCAGTGATAAGCATCTCAAAATAGCTAAAGGCAGCGAGAGACGCAGAGGATATGAAAATAGACCCGAAATTACTTGGTTTCGGCTTCTCTAAATTATGGGGCCCTGAGATGTCCGCAGCCCACACCGGAGCTTCTCCGGAGGGCTCGGTTAAGCAAACCCCAGGGGGACTTGTTTGTTTAAGGAAACTTCAGTTTTAAAAGTTCTTCAAGCACGCCACCATTTCTCAGAGTTTCCGAATGTCCTATTTCTGCGGGAAGTTTCGCGGGCGGAGCTGGCCCATGAAAACTGCGTGCGGTCCTTCCAGCGTGTTGGGCGGGGAACCACGCAGATGACGGGGTGCTCGCGGGGGTGACTCCCAGGAGGGCAGGGGGGCTTCTCAGAGGCCTGATGTCTTTCTCAGCATTTCCATGGCCCATGTGGACCTCATCAGATGTGGTGGGAACTAGCCCCCCGCCATGCATCACACAATGACTGGGCACCTCTCTGCTCCAGGCGCCAGGCTAGCTGCTTTCACGAGGGACTCCCCCCAGCCCCCCATGTTTCCTTCCATTTATCCAGCTGGGCTCCCTGATGAGCCCTCTCCTCATGTGCATTTGTCCTCGGTGCTTGTAACAAACCTGCAAGACAGACATTACTGAGCCCATTGGGGTGAGGGATTTGCATTTTACAGTTCCCATAACTTGCCTAAGATCACAGGGCAGCTGCTCAGTGGAAAGAGACCCCAATGCCAGTTCTGCCAGGTGCCCACTCCTGGCTCCAGGCCTGTGTCCCTACACCCATCCCTGGGGCTTTGCAGTGACCCTGGGGAGCAGAGGCTGTCACAGGTGAGGACACCGAGTTTCAATGACTTGCTCTGGGCTCTGAAATTCCTGAGTCCCAGGCTCAGAGTCCCACCCAGACAGCTGACACCTGGATGGCGGCTTCCAGTAAATAGAAGCCCGTCATAAACAGACAAAAACCCTTGCCTCCTACACGGGCGCTTGGTGTTTCCCCCCTTTTCCTCGCTGAATTCATTCCTTTCCGTCCCTTTGAGAGGAAGTTTCACTGTAAAAATGCAGCCAGGAGGAGCCCCTCTCACCCCGGGGTCAGTCGGCCACCTGGCCACACTTCCCTCCCTGAGCTGATCAGACTTTATCTGGGAGACAAAGCAGGCGGCCCCTGCTTCTGTGCTCAGAAAACAATGTGTTTACTTAAAAAGTCTCAGGAAAACATTGCGCCACCTGCGTGCGTAGTTATTCGGGTTTCCTGCAAAATGACCTCTTGATGGCAAAGACCTCGACATCGCCTTGTAGGATGCCCCACACAGTCTGAAGACTTTCCACATGCGTATGGCTTCACGGGGGAGGAAGCCAGTCATCATTTATATGCTGTTTCTCTCTGAAATAAAAAGCCCAGGGTATAGGAACCACACCGGGGACTGTACACACATCGCCTCTGTCTGCCCAGCATTCCTGCAGGTCGGCGTCAGCTCAAGTTCACGGCTGACAAGCTGGAGGCCCAGAGAGGTTAAATAGCTTGCCCAAGGCGGCATAGCAACAGGTAACAGAGCTGGGACAAGAACCCGCATGTTTTAATCCCAAACCAAGGTCAGGGCTCTTGGCTAAATGGGCAGGGTTGGGGGCTGGGGGTGTCTTCTCACTCCTACACCAGGCAGGTCCTGTGAGCATGACCCAGAGCAGAGGCCGGGCTGCTTCTGTGAGTCCCAGCAAAGCCGCGTGGGAAGTTCCAGCAGGAGCTTTCACCCGCACCAACAGCTGCCACCTTCCCGATAGTATCGTGGGCGTTGGTTCCCTTCGAACACATTGCCGACGCCGGGGCAAGGGCTTAGGGGCGCAACTGAACGTCACAGCTTAGAGGAAACCCGCCTTAACCCGTCGATGTTGGCCTCTCGCTAAGTCTCTTCAAAATCTTACACACCGGGGCCAATTTGTTTACCCAGTCACGCATCTCCGCTTGCCCTAGAAATGCCACGGAAACTGCGTGTTAGCTACCTGGGTGCTGGATTTCCTATGAGCCAGGCGTCCCGGAAGGTGAGTAATGAGCCAGTTTCAAAGGTGGTGTTTGCCTCTGGAAACTTGTCTTAAGTAATTAGTGACGATAATCTCTAGGCTGCGGTGCTCGGTGTGTGGGGTTCGCATTTCATTTCTTCCCCTCGGCGCAGAAGCGGGGCTTTGCCGCAGAACAAGATGCTCTGGGCCGTGCATTTCCAGGCAGGGACGGTGTGTCCCAGGCCTACACTTAGTGTTCTGTCTGCAGGAGGCTTTCTGGGCCAAGTTCCAGGCGCCCGGAGCTCACTGCCGGGCAGCCCGCAGGGCGTCGTCGGGGCGGAGGGCCCTACAGCGGCTCTTCTTTCCCCAAACCCTGCCCTCAGGCCTACGGGGACCTGCTGTGAGAGCCCATCCGGGCAGTGGGGGGAGGCGAGGGCTGAGGGCAGTTGCGAAGGAAAAGAGTTTGATTTGTTGCAAGGGGTGTTCATTACGATCAGATGATTAAAATGCCTACAAGTCATTTTCAGAAACGATGGAAAACCCTAAACAACTGCTGGATAACACCTGTCAGCAGCCCGCCAGGTCCTGGTGTGGAGGACAAGCATTCAGTCTACCTGCTTTTTTTTTTTTTTTTAATATACCTTTATTGATTTCAGAGGGAGGAAGGGAGAGGGGGAGAGAGAGAGCGAGAAGCGCCAATGTGAGGGACACATCGATTGGTTGCCTCCCGCACGCACCCCGACTCGGGGTGGGAATCGTACCCGCAACCCAGGTACATGCCCTTGACCTGGAATCGAACCCATGACTCTCCCTGGTGCAGGCTGACGCTCCAACCACTGGGCCACACCGGCCAGGGCTCAATCTAGCCTTTTTAAAAACCATGTTTCTGTGTTCCTTTCCCCCCAACCCTGCATCCCCGCCTTTCTCCCCACGTGGCCCGGGCGCTCCTCCTGGTCGCCCACCGCGCTCCGGGCTGGAAGCATCAACCGCGGCTACAGCCGGAGTTCGGGAGGGGCTGCGACTGTCCTCCTGCGACTGGAGCCCCGGTTCGCCGGTGTCGTCGGATGGCAGAGCGCGGCTGCCGGGAGGGGCTGCCGCCGGGCGACCGTCTCCCACTGCCAGCGCCCGTGTCGCGCCCGGCACGGCGGCTCCCCTCCAGCCTCTGACGTCGCCCCGGGGCAGGCGGACACAGCACAGCAGTTGCTGAATCGCGTATGAAAGTTACAGTTTATTGTCTACACAACGGGAGGCTGGGCTCGGACTCCTGTTCCGTGCGAGCCGCACAAGGAGCCGATTCTCCTCCCGGGACAAATGAGCACAGTACACTGTTGTAATCTAAGAAACAGGCACTATTTATGTATCGGAAAGGCTCGGCCCCAACAGGGCTCGCGGCCCGGCCGGACCCGCTGCTGCAGCAGCTGGAGGGGGCCACCGAGGGCGGGACGCGCGGGCCCTGGGCCCCGGGGCTCCCTGCGACCCGCCGTCCCCGCGCTAGTTCAGCAGGCAGGACTCGTAGGTGGGGACCATGTACTTGATGTTGATGAAGGCTTCCTCGCCCCCGTAGCGCTCGAAGGCCCCCAGCGTCTCCTGGATCAGGTCCCCCACGTTCTCGCGCTTCTGCTGGCTGTAGTCGATGCCGTCTCCGGAGTTCACTGAGTCGGGCAAACACACAAAGAGGCCCGTTATTGCTTTTCTTTTCTTCCCTTTTAGGCTAATCCTCACCAAAGGATATTTTTTTTTCCATTGCTTTTCAAAGAGAGAGGAAAGGGGGGAGAGAGAGAGAGCGAGAGAAACATCGATGCGAGAGGGACACATCGACCAGTTGCCTCCGCATGTGCCCCAACCGGGGCCGGGGAGCAAACCTCGCAACCCGGGAATGTGTCCTTGAGCGGGAATCGAACCCGTGAACCCCCTTGGCGTGCGGGCCGACGCTCTGCCCACTGAGCCACACCGGCCAGGGCCAGGGGCTCGTTATTTCTCCGCAGTTTCCCAAAAAGTCCCGGATGCCAGTCCAGGCACCTCCTGTGCGTGCCGGTTAGGGGACGCAAGCGGTTAACGTTTTAGGAGTTTTGGGAGTGGGGACAAACATACAAAAGCACAGAGCCCCGGACTGGAGCTGATGAGAATTCCTCCGCACTAAAGAGACAACAGGCTAAACGGGGCCGAGGTCGCCCTGGCACTGCGCAGTTCACGGCCGAGGGGACCTCGGCCTCAGATCTGACCGTGACATCGAGACTGTCCTCTTGGGCCTCGAGTTCTTCCAAACCCCGGCACGGCCCGTTTAGAAGGAGCCGTCTCGCATCAGGTCACGCCGTGGGCCCCCTGGGACTTAGACGGAGACCCTTTGGAACGAGAGGCTGGGCCCATCCCCGGGGCTCTGTGGCTTTTGTACGTGCTTTTAGCTCTGTCCCCTCCCCCCAAGCATCCGCACTCCAAGGCTCGTTCTCTGGAGTTGGTCCCATCCCTCTGGGTGCAGGGGGCTGGGGGGACCTGCCGTAGATGCTGTGAGGGCCCCTGACTGACCCCTGGACTTCGGGTGACAGTTTTAGTGATGGTTTCTCGGGCAGTTCCTGCTGGTCTCGGAGCCTCTCTACATCCAGACGGGTGGTCAGGCCCTGGAGGACCTAGCAAAGGCCCAGCCTCACAGAGCCGTGAAGGGACCACCGCGGCCGCCCTGATACACCTTCGGGGCGGGTGGCATGACCTGCGTGTGCACGGGACAGCCAGGCCCGGGGCACACGCCTGCCGGCGGGCACGGGGAATAGGATGGCTGACGGTGCTGAGTGGTGACGGGCTGCCACCGGTTCCTTACGGACAGAGATCCTCAAACCAACCACTAGTCAGTGGCGCCTTTTGTTGGCACGTGAGTCTGAAGGTCAAGAGCTGGATGGGCCCCGGGACACAGTTTCCCGCGGGAGGCGGGGGTGGGGAGCGCAGGCAGGCTCGGCCCGCCCCGTTTTCCACCGCCCTCCGGAGGGCTGGCAACACGCGGTTCCAACAGTAACCTATTCTTGCTCCTTAAAATACACTTAACCGTGGGAGTGAGCCAACTATGTAGCTCTTTTGTTTCTCGACAGTGGATAAACCTGGTGATAGAGAGAACAGAACAGAATAGAAGCTGCTGATGCAGAAAGTGAGTTGGAGTTGAAATATTTTGTGGTTGCAGAATATGTATCAATGGGGCAGGGGAAAAAAAAAAAAAAGACCAGAGAAGGGACACATCCCTTCTTGTCCCTGCTGTAAGGACGACGGGGACCGCTCAGGGCCAGGCCACGGGGAGAAACGGAGCAGGGCAGCGAGGTGGTCTCCCTTCAAAACCGCAGTGGGGTCGGGGTCTCCGAGAGCCTGAACTTGAGGGGAGGGAGTGAGCTCCCCGTTTTAAATACGCCTGGTGCTGTGGGAACAGGGTGCTTGAAAAACCCGTGTGCGCAGTGGTTAGAGCGCTGGCCCCCACTCCAAAGGGTCTTGGGTTCGATTCCCGATCAAGGGCACATATCTGGGTTGCAGGTTCCATCCCCGGCTCCAGTCGGGGTGCATGCAGGAGGCAACCGATCGATGTTTCTCTCTCCCCCCTCCCCCCGTTCCACTCTATCTGAAAATGGAAAAGCGCGCCTTCGGGTGAGAAACAACCACAGCAAACAGAACCCACCACCGGTCACTCACAGTGTCGGCCCCGATTAGGAAGGCGCCGCCTCAGTTTAGGAGGCTAGGAGTCTACTTCATGTCCAGCGGCTCAAAAGATAGGTTGATGATGCGAAAGCTACGTTTCATCTATAACCAAACAGGCAGGCCCGTGAGAAAGGCCTGCGCGGGCCGCGTTTCCAACGGGAGCAGCGCGGGGCAGACGGGGTTCGATCCTGGGGTCCTGCCTGCGGGAGGCGGGGGCTACGGCCTGCACGCTGCTTCTGGTCGGGGGCTCTTCCAGGCGCACCTGCTCTCCTGGGTGCCGGCGTGGTTTTGGTTATGCAGGCGATACGTGGGACATACGGGTCCGCGTTTTCTACCGAACCCTCTCTGGACCGTCCCAACCCGGAGGCTGTCTCTTTCTAGATGCCATTTTGGCCCGAAGTGGGGCGTGTTGGGACGAGTTCCCAGCCCCTCTCGAGTCCAGCAGCGGCATCCTCCCGGGGCCTGAGCTCAGCTCGTGGGGCAGTGGCTGCCGGGACACCGTGTCACCAAGGGCCGCTGCAGAGGGAGGTGACAGGGGACACATGCACACGTCACACGTCACACGGGCGTCTGCTAAGCGGCGCACATGGGCCGGCCCCAGGCTCATATCGCATATTGTGATGAAATGCACTTAGAGTAGTTTTGCAGTTTCTAGACTTTGTGGGAGATTTTATTCTTTCCCTTTTAAAAAGTTATTATGATTATAGGAAAAAGGGAAAAATGAAAGAGGGACAATTTGGGTGGCCAGAGCAAGGACTTCCCGCCCAAGGGCGGGGCTGCTTCTCACACTGAGGAGCACCTTGGGTGGGGGCACCCAGGACAGTCCTGCGATGCGATGTCCCCTCTGTAGGCTGAGCTCTCGAGGAGGCACCACGGGGCAATGATGCGAGAGGAACAAAGCCCTTGCCTAACTGGCCACCCTCCCCGTAGGACCCAGGGGTCACCTACACCCGCCATGAGACAGGACAGGCGCGGGCACCCTGAGCTCACAGAGCCTCGGCGGAGGCGGCCCCCTTGCGGCCCCGGGCACACGACACAGAGCAGCTCGCAGGGAGCACCGTGTCCCTGGTGACGAGTGGCCGGCGACCGGCTTCGTGGGCCCTGGGAACTCTGGTTCCACGGTGCGTGTCCATCAGGGCCGGACAGTCTCCGTGAAGCCGCGCCGAGTGGGAAGTTTAGAAAATGCTAACAGAAGAAACGGAATCGTTTCCTTCTGGATCAGAAAAAGCATTTTTGGTTTCCTCAAATGCTGAGTTAAAAAATTCCAAGAACTCGAGAGCCCAGCTGAGGGAGGCTTACCTGTCAGGACCTGTAACCTTCGATGGCATCAGCCACAGCTAAAGCTGTGTCCCTGCCCATGGGTGTCAGTGACGTCATCGCTCTGGAGACAGAAAGTGAGCCCTTGGGGCCTGGGTTCAGGTCCTGACAGGTACGTGCAGGTGGGACCTACCGCAAATATTATTATTATGTTTCCTGATGACATGAAACCCTCACAGCTTCCTGCTGGACGACTGAACAAATTCTCCCTTTGGGTTTAGTGGGTCAGCAGTGACGGGTTCGAGGTGACCCAAACTGTAATTCCCTGTTTGCTCATAAACTAACATTTTCCAAATGAGATGTATTAAAAAGGTGACTCATTTAACAAGGTGTCATTAAAAAGATAACTCATAATATTTATGGGTTTAGAAATGGCTGCTTCCTCCACCCCCTTTTTAATAATAATTAAGAAAGGGAGAAAGGGGAGACATAAGTACATTTGATCTTTTAAGAAATTTTCAATTCGAGACCTAGATTAAATTGCCAACATTTGTTTTGCCAGAAACGTCTGTTTATTTGGAGTTAGCTTGAACTCAATTCACTTTATAGAAATGGTGTTACCTGTTTTGGAATAAAAAAAACCTTTCTCCCATAAAGTTTGGAGAATCACAGTGGAAACCATTGTGGGTTCCAGTCTGAGCCTCCCTGGAGATGAGGGGACAGGAGAGAAAGGAAGGCGGGAAGGAAACCGAGGACCGAATTCACCCTACACCAGTAGAAGGAGCCTTTGGGCTCATGTTTGGAGGTGATGTCCCTTCAGATCCTAAACAAATGCCTCTTCCACTTTCTATTTTTAGCTTTGCTATGGTACTTTGAGGGGCTCGGTCTTTTTTTTTCCTTGCTTAACCGTAACATGTGTCCCGTTCAGGAGTCCTGCGAGTCTGTGTTTGGCCTAAGCTTAGCCAGCCCTTCCTTGGGTGGCTTCAGACCCCCTTGTGCAGTCCGGTTTCCAACATACCCTTCAGCCCGGCTTTGCGGGGGGCAGTCCCAGAGGCTTGGCTCATGGCGCGGAGGTGCGGATCCAGGTCGGGATGGTCTGCACCCAAAAACGTATAACCGCAGCATCCGGCACGCGAGCGATGCCCGAGGGCTTAAACACTCCAAGTCTTCTCAGGTCTTGAGGACATGAATGGAATTCACAAGATTTCTTTCCTCTTAAGATAAAAGCCATGAAGCAAGACCCCGATTCCCAGGGGGAGTCTCTCTTCCTTTCTTTCTGACACAGAAGGTGGGCGGCTAAAGCCAGAGGCTACTGAGCCATCACGGGATTGACGGCTCGGGGAAGAGTTTTCACCTTCTGAATGCGGGCACCGATCGCTTGGGAAACTGAAGATATCATCTTGGCCCAATTGTCGATGAAATATTTAAACTTCCCATCAGATAAACAATGAAAATTTCTAAACAGTGGCCGTTTCCAACTACAAAGTAGGTTTATTTCTACTTTAAGAAATGAGCAATGACAACATTGGTGTGTACTGGTGTAGTGGAAAATATTGGACTTCAAGGCAAATAACTTATAATATAATATTTCAATAACTTAATAGCCACAACGATCAATAACTTCCTAGGAGCTTAACCATAGACGGGTGACTCAACTTCTCTGATCTCAGCTACCTCCCTGTACAAGGAAGGGACTGGACTTCGGGTGATTTCTGGTTTCTACGCA